GAAATTTGTCATCATACAGAGCTACTGCAATCTATTGAGAGAAAAGAAAACTAATCTTTTACAAAGCATAAATAATCAGAATCATAGCAAAAACATACTTTATTTTTTAATGTACTATATGGTTGTTTTCATTTGAAAAAATATTGTTCTGTTAGTCTCTGACAAAATGCTACAAATATTGACCTAATCTAGAAAAACAGCACTTTTTATGATCTGTTTCGTATTTTGAACTCTTTTATTTAAAGAATACAAGATAAAAGGAAATTAAAAGAAGAAGCTATATAACCCAAACAGTTTCTTGCATCTGTAAAAAAAAAAAAAATTTCAGCTCGATCGAAAGTAGTGTTCAGGAGAAATGGGATCATTTTCAGCCGTTCTGATCTCTATATTTCAAAGAATGAAGCATTTTTCAATGGTGCGTCTATCACAACTTTTGCTCTAATACAGTCGATATAACTGCCCTGAAAATTTTAGAAATTTTGATTGAGTCGTTCTTGAGAAAGCTCAGAAGGGGAGATGCCATTAAAGAGGCTGAAATCTAGTGTATCGGTTCACATAACGCTTGTCTTCGGATCATCATTAAGTTGCTTGACGAGAAAAAAAAAGTTCCCGTTGCTATAAGCCTCCGATCGTCATAAAATGATGGAGAACGGATAAGGATGCAAACATAAAAAACAGCTTGTTTTATCCTGTTCTTAGCATTGATTACTCATGGTATATTTCGGATTTTACTACTTATGAGACATTCTCCTTGGATATTTTCATCCTTGTTATTTCTCATGTCGCTTTGTCAAGATATCTCCGATACAGTCGAAACAGAATAATAAAATCCACAGATCGATGTCCTTTGCCTTGCCAGAATCAGAAAGCGCATTGAACTCGAACAACTGTTGTGAATTTCTTCTCGAAGTTAACTGAATATGAAGCATCGAATTGATGATGAAACGTGTCCGTACATTGTTTTAGTTTACAAGAATCGAAAATCATCTCATGGGAAACATCTGTGACTGTTATCGATCAGAGCGTAGATGCGTTAGTCTTTTGGCCTAGATATCATCCACAACCTAAATAACTGATATATTGATATTGATTCATAAATAATAGTTTTTTTTTCTAGATGTGATGATGATGTTTCGAATAATCACAGCATACCACGATTGAACTGTGCGATGTTTTAGTTCAAGCCTAGTGTTTTGTTATATTTGTTATTTTATCTTTATAACAATTTTATTTTCTCTTCTAATAAAAAAGAAATGAACCATATTCAATTATATCTATTTTTTTCTCGATGAAGTTTATGTGTAGGTGTAGGTGCGAGTGGTGTCACACCCATCCCTGCGATATGTTTTGATTTTTCGAATGACAATTGATACCTTTCATTTTCTCAGATATTATCTTATAAAGATATTCAGAGTTTTTTACAAAGTAAATCTTTTGATGTCTAACGCAAGACGATTCAATTATTTATTAAAATATTATTGATAATTTGCCAGCTAATCGAATATCTAAACAAATACACAGAAATGTTAACTGTTCAAATCTTGATACTCAAAAAATAAAATATTATCATTTGAAAGCAATTTTAGTTTGTATGCATCTTTGACAATTTTTGAAAAATTTATCCTTAAATATATTTTCAACTTGAACATTATATAACTCAATTTAAAGCTCATTCAATTAATACTATTAGCAGTAAAATATTTAAAGTATTTCATCCAGAAAATCTTTATAAAAAAAACAAGAAAGGTATTCGTATAAAATATGTCACATAACTTGTTTACGCCTAGACATCATTCATTTATGACTTTTCAATAAATTTAACAAAAAAAAACGAAATTCAACTTGATTTATGTACACAAGAACTTTTTTTTTGAATACAATAAAGTATTGAAAAATTAAACAAAAAAACGAAAGGAGATTATCATATTTATATGAGTATAAAATAATTCGAAAAACGATTAAGTTTTCAAAGTGTTTTAATCAAACGAACCTTTACTAACTTTGTTTTAACTTGAAACTTTCTGAGTCCTTCTCTTTTTCTCTTCCTAACCGAGGATCATGTGCAATACACTCATTTCTCATTGTTCTCTAGCAAATAGGCATGCAATTGTTTCGATTCTTGGCTGAAAATTGGTTAGGAGCCATTACTAAAATTATTAGTTTCATCAGGAATTTTACAAAAATAATTCCAATCACTAGTGCCCAGTTCTAAATATTGAAATTCATGTATTTATACTGGCAACACAAAACAAAAGAAGGGTTTGATGCTATTGAGAACAAGGTTTATATTAATCTATTATATTCTAAAGTCTGCATTGAAATTTAAATCACTAAAATACGTTTTTCATTGTTCTAAAATCATCATATGAATAAGACAAAGAAATATGAACTTGTCAATATTTAATTTAGTGAAATAGTCTATATAAGTTTTTCTAAATAACTCAAGATAAATAATAGCTTATTTAAAGATCTATTCGATAGTTATATTCAAAAGAGAATTTTATTTTACATAAATAACTTGTTTTAAGAATAAATTAAAAATGAAATGAAGATCAATGATTTTCATTATGAGTAATTAGTAATGAAAGAAATAACAATGAATTCAATCATTAAGAAAAATTCTTCTACGACGTTGATAAATAATTACTTTTTTTCCATAGAAATTTATCATTTAACTTTATTTTATATTAATAAAATGTATCTAACCAATAAATTAGAGTTCGAAATTTTGAAACTCAAATAAATTATAATGATTATCGTTTATGTTAAATTCTATCCAAATTATAATTCACTATTTTTGAAATAAACATTTTGAAAATAATTCTCAGTCAATTTAATTATATTGAAACAGAAAAATTCTCTTTCATGAAAGATTTTGATTTCTTGTCGATATATAAAAATGGCATTGTCGATATTATATTTCCAATAGAATAAAGAAGCGGAAATTGTCTTAAAAAAAATAAAATATTACTTCGCTAATAAAGATCATTTTTGAGAAAATAAAAAAGAATAAACTAATGAAAATAATTTAGATAAATGATCTGTTACATTTCTAATATTATTTATATTTCATATCTAATCAAAGAAAGAATATTATCATTAATTATGTTAGTTCTCTCTTTTAATCAAAATATAGAGACGATAAAAATAATAAAAGATCAATATTTGTGACTTATTATTAAGAAAAAAGAAATTGATTTCATATTGAATTTGTTTTATTATTATTTAAATTCATCGTTGAATCATTATCAAATGAAGATATAAATAATTGTTATTTTAATCTATTTTATTCAAATCAAAGTTCATATAAATGTTTGGATGAAAATTCTTATCAATATACTAATATTATTTCATTAAAAAATCAACAATATTATCGAAAGTTATTCTATCATCAATATCTTTGGGATTCTTTTTATATTGGCTTTTTGTTTAGTTATAGCAAACGACTGATTTTATATGCTTTGCCATTTAATCCATATTCCAAACATTCTTTATGATTATTGAACTAACAAATAATTATATTATGGGTCATTCCACCGGATGTCTTCAGGTCCATCCGGCGACCATACCAAAATTCATTGAAACTTTCAGAGTTTGTAGAGAATTTTTTGCTGATCATTTTGATAACAAACTTTTCCAAAATAAACCGTTTTCGTGAAGAAACAGGTCAAATACAAAAAATGCATTTCAAAAAAAAAACACTTGCGTTTCTATCAAAATAGCGATAAAAGTCCCATTTTGTTTCCTCGAATTGTAAAACCAAGCATATATTCAGATTCCTCGTGAAAAACTGCATCAGAATCCATAGGAATTAAAAACATTTTGACGAATTTTATACGGTCCACTAGGTTCCTAGCAAATGCACTAGAGAGACACACTGTTTGAAAAATTCGATCAGAAAGTTGGGATGAACCAGAATGGTGGCAGTAGCAGTTCGATAGAGCAAAACTTCCTCTACAAGATGCACAATTTAGTTTGCCCCACACTTCAAATTTAGAAGGGAGCAAGGGTCAACAATACGCTAGATTACCATTTTTCAGCAAAATTTTGATAAATATATTCGTCAAATCTGACCACTTGCTCCGATCGCCATTTTCAAATTCAGTGAAACTTTCAGCACTTGTAGAGCTTTTTACGCTGATCATTTTGGTAATAAATTATTCAGTGTTCGAATTTATTTTCATAACGATACGGGTCAAATAATATCAATCACTATTATCTCCTTTTTAATATTATGCAAAAAAAAACGATAATTTTTTTTCGCAACAAAAGTGATAGCGCAATACTATTTAGGGAATTTCAAAGGCTACTTAAATATGCTGATGACGCATAAAAAACTGTGCCAGAATTTCCGTGAAATTTACAAATTTTCACATATTCTTATGATGTCTGTCTGATCATATGTGATAAACAAGGGAAAGAGGGTTGATGAAAAAAGATTTAAAAATAATTAGAAAAGCAAATGATCCAAAATAAGAAGGGTGTGGGTGTGGGTGGGTGGATGGGGGTGTGAGTGGGGTTTGGGTTATGAAAAGAGTTACCCCCACACCCACACCCACTCACACCCACACGCACACCCACACCCACACCCACACCCATCCACCCACACCCAACCCACACTCACACCCATCCACCCACACCCAACCCACACCCACACCCCATCCTGAAGATTTTATTTTCATCTGTGTGAATACAACGTTAGAAAGATTTTTTTAATGAAGAAATTTATGTACGAGCACGAGAATAATCGAATATAGTTCAAGAGGTTTGATTGAAATTCATGAGTGTTCTCGAAGACAGTAGTCAACAAACCTTGAATTTTAGCATTTTTTTTTTCTTTCTATATCATGTTTGTTTTAATACAAGTGACTTTTTTCTTCGTACGGTAGAAAAAGAATAAATTTATTTTGCACCAAAAAAAAAAATTATTCGTTACAAAGCATTCTTTCAAAGGAATACTTGCATTGTTAGTTTTTTTAGAGTTATCCGTACGAAGCAATATGGCTGAATCAAATGTTGAACACAATTTGAAAGAAGATTTTGTCGAAAAATGCCGAACTGATGTTGGACACCAGCATCCAATTATTATTCTTGATGATAGGAAAGATAAAAAAAAAATATACGAACAAGTGTATGCTGAATATAGTCGTATTAGCAAACGACCTGCACATATATTCGACAATGCGGACGAATGTTATGATTTTGTTACGACCGAGTTATGTAATAATATACACACTAAGGCACTTGTCTTAGTACGAGATAAATTAATTAATGATATTATTAAGGATATTGTTTCTTCCGATCAAATTCATAATATTATTATCCTCAACGATAATCCACCAAGTAAAGAAGAAAGAGAATCAATGAAAAATTATTCCAAAGTACGTGAATAAATCAAATTTGTTTTTTCTTCGATAATCATCCGGCTTTTGACATTTGATATTAGTTGTATTTTTCACCTCAACTTTGATAGGAATGTTTATTATTTATCTCTAATTAAACAAAGTGGTAAAATGCCCGCTACCGGTCATTAAAGATAGACGTAAAAACTTTTCACCGTATTCAACAGTAGATAAGAGCATAAGTAGATTCATGCAGTATTAGTAGGATGTGTCGAATGTCATGTTCTCAAGACTGATGTGAACGTGTGGTTAAGATGAGACGATGTTGATGGAGATGAGCATGCCGAATTTTTCTGCGTCAACATATTCTACTAATATCAATTCATACATAATGATGCATACTGTTAGTTCGAGCTTTCTCACAAAAACCTTTCGTCAAACCTTTGAAAATTTTGTTTTATTCACAAGTTTCTGTTTCTAGAAGGGAGAAAGACTATGGATCACTTTTCTTACTCTAAAAGAATACAATACGGATTGAAACAAATCGTTCAGATTTAAGGAAATGTTATAGAAGCTGAGAAAGTCGAATCAGATAACAGATATCATTATGAATACACCGATGTGCTTTTACTGACTACTAGGCATGCGAAAAAGTGATTACTGTTATTTTGATTAATAACAAGAAATTCGTATTCCATGTAGCCCAAGCTATACTTCGTAATGCAAAGAAGTTTGTCATGAAGCATTTACCTGCAAATTTTACTTTTCATTTGGCATGCCCCAATGCCTTTCTTCGAAATCTTATTCTAAAAATTCTTTAGAATTATCAATAGACAGTTTACTTGGAAAGAAGAGATAATAGATTCATAGCATTCGAAATCAGTCTATGGTATTCCATGGCATAACTGAAAATTTTTCAAAGAATGCTTGTTAATAATTTTCGCGATATACAGCGAGAAGTTAGACAGTTATTTCCTTTTGACTGTTACGGTCTGCGTGCTTACAAAAGTTTTTCCACTGACTGTATTATATTTTGATGACGATCTATGATTTACATTGTGTGAATTTGTCATATACTATCATTAAGCTGAGTTTTATCGTATACACTGGAATGTCTGCATTATTGAGTAGACATAGATTTTCGTCATTCTCGTGACTGGACTACAGTAGACTTCATTTATTTGAACCATAAATGTAGCCAGATATTGTTTCAGAAAACTTTCTCATAAAGGAATCGTTTACATCTTTCCTAGGCCGTTGAATTAGGATAGTGTGGAAGAGTTTTATGTGTACATTGATCGTAGATGTAAGAATTTGTTCTATTCAGAACAATATGTAATGATTTCGAATAAGTATTATTTTACCATGTCCATGCACTATGATCTTTGAAATGGAATGTAATTTTAGCAAGAACCTATTCTACCAATTGATTCTATATTCGGAGAAATTCAACTCGTTTCTATCATTTTACTTTTTAACCTCAGTTGTTTTTTAACATTCTGTACAAATCAAACATAATTACCTTCACTCGTAGTGCTTAAAATATCCTATTCATGTTTTAGGTAAGCTATATGAATGACCCAGAATTAACATCTGACAAGCAAACATTAGATCGAGAAATTCTTCAAGAAGAACGATTTAATGAGCCAATTACAATCGCTTCAGCATATGCAAATGATTCAGAGAAAAATATGAATTTATATGTCGAAATAACTGACCGTTCATCTGAATGTCTTTTCAGTACGAATACATTACTTCATTATTTCACACTAAAATGTCTCATGAATAATCAGTCAACGCCATCGAACTATGATAGTCTAATCGAATTATTTCGAAGCAAATTCCCTATTCCAGAAACAACGATTGACCAATTTAAAAAGACCTATGCACCCGATCAGGCAATACAATTTTATACGAAACATGGATTTATATATCAACCATTAAACAAAGCATTGCGTTCACTAAATATCAATCATCTTGTACGATTTCGATTTGTACTTAAAGATATATATGATCAGTTAGGCGATCTAATGGTTCTTGAACTCAATGCTCGAACAAGACAAGTTTATCGAGGTCAACGGATGCATTTCTCTGAAATAATGAATTTATTTAACATTTTCAAACAAAAAGCACCGATTATTGTTAATAGTTTCTTTTCAACATCGCTTGATAGGCACACGGCTGTCGGATTTCTTATTGCTGGATGTGATAAAGAACAAAGTATGACTCATGTGCCCGTACTTTTCACGATTAACATTCGAAAACAAGACGCATCATCTGGTTGGCCCTTTGCTGACATATCTAAATTGAGTAACTTTCATGGCGAAGCAGAAATATTATTTACACCAGGTCAAATGTTTATGATCGAGAATTTTCAAGCGATACATGAACATGATACGATTATCTATTCGATTGAAATGAGACTTCACAATGAAACTAAATTCAATCTCAATGATCACTATAATCGAGTGATATCTCAATGGGAAGAAGAGATCCATTATTCATTAATTCATCTCGCTAAATTACTTATGAATTGGAATCGATACGGAGAAGCAAAAGAATTATATGAACAAGTACTAAACCAAAAGTCTGATAAACAGACACAAATGGTTTGCTACCAAGGTTTAGCTCAAATAGCTACATCCACGGATAATAGCGATGAAGCAATGATCTATCAACAGAAAGTTATGGATTTAAAATTTGATAATGATCATTCGTCACCGATACCAGACGGTATTCTAGTCTCAAGCCAATTTCAACAAAGTTTTTCTACATTTTTCGATAAATGTCAAAATGTTGTAACACGATCATCTCTTAATCAACCTCTTCACGAAGTTAACAATTATTTAGAAAGCAATGAATGGAATGAAGTTTTGCATCAAACTCCACAAATGGCACTCATGATTGCTCAGACATTAATCAACAATCAACAATATCACTTGGCGATCTCATTTCTCGAACCAACTTTAATTATCATTAGATCGACGAACGATGCCGAATTCGATCCATTGCAAAAATCGAAATGTCATGAAGCCTTGGGTTATTGCTATCATCACTTAGGTATGAATGAGAAAGCTCTAGAATATTACACGTCGGCATTAGACGAAAGTATTCATTTACCTTCTCAGCACCATGTTAGAATATTATCTGACGTCGGTAAAGTACTCGAAGAGATGAATCAATGGGAAGAAGCTTTACAAAAGTACATCAAAGCGGCTGAAATCTATCACACTGAATTACCAAATGCAGATCCAGAATATGTTGCTCATGTCGAGAAATGCATTGAACAAGTTACATCGCACCTTCTTCCACTCGATAAATAATCTAGCAGAAACGAACTCTTCTAAGATTTTCAGCTTGTTTTTTCATTATTTAAGTGTGTTCAAGTCGTTCAATTTTTCTATATAATCAAGCAATTTTTATGCACAATAACATACAATCATTGTTTTATATCATTGTGTACTATATATAAATGTGCTAAACATTTTTCATATTGGAATCGGTGAACTATTGAAAATAAATCTTTATTCTACAATATTGTCTTGTAAAATAATTCAGACAAGAGACGAAATAGATTGATAATATACTCATTGGGAAATCACAATATTTTTATTCACGTTAGACTTGTATGTCACACACAACAAAAAAGTAGGCATGATTCAGGCGGATAAGTTATGAGGAGAGACCTAAGTCTAAGCGAATATGAGCCCACATTGTAATTTCGCTAAGAAATCGAATTATAACTTGATAATTCCTTGCTCGATCCTGATTTTTCAACCATATTGTCTTTTCGAATTTTGAGTTGAAACTTTGTTAACATAATGTCTTCGACTAGTTTAACTTACGAAACCAAAATTTCAGAACTGTTGAGTTGGTCTAGTTGAAAATATTATATGAAGCGTTGGATTCTTAAAGAACTTTCTCACGCAAGTGATTGGCTAAAATTCGTGGTTTTCGATTGATGTTATTAGTAGGAAATTCTATTATTTGCATATAAGAGAGACTATGCACAAGTCTACTCATTGTTAATTGTAACAAAATTTATCTGAAAAAATTAAAAGGTGATGACAAAGCTTCGACTCCTCGTTAAATCAAACTCGTATGAAGGTATTGATCAAATTATGTCATTTTGTAGAGTAAGAGAAGAACTATCATCTGGAAAAAAGACAGCTTGAAATACATATATTTATTATAAAGTTATGGTCATTTTACTAATTTCTAATGAGTTGCACGTTTTGCAAAAAAAACAAAAATACTCTTGCAACATTTGAATAATCGAAGTCGATTGAGATATGGATTCTTACATATCTTTAGTAGATATTTTTATATGATTAGATAGAGTTTGACAGGCTCTACCAAAACATAGGCATCCAAAAAAAAATTTTGATCTTTTTTTCAATACAAAACCTGAAAGCAATGAGACAGACTAATAAAAATCTAGCAAATCATGTATTGCAAAGTATACGCAACTTTCAGTAAGTTTGGTAGATCGACCGTTCTGTCTATTATTTTATGTTTTGAAATGCTTTGTCACGTACTGTAGATGAACAATATCCTTTTCGACCTTCAGAAACAGACTAACTAATCGATTGACTAAATGTATTGGAAATTGAGCACTCTTTCTTTAATACACGATATATCAGATTTTTACTAGTCTTTCTACTTGTCTCCAAATTTGGCATCAGAAACAGGATTAGCAAAATTGTTGTTATTCATATTCTTCTAGAGCTTGATGAACTCTATTCAGCCATATAAA